TCTTCAAATTTCGGAAAAAAATACAAACATTTATTTTGCCACTAGACATGGCTAGATCGATTCAGCTGTTCACTCTGAACAATAATATATATTATTTATAGGGTCGGAAATGATTCCTTCATTGTGTTTTAAGCTTCTGATTAATACTAACCCCTGCAAAAAGGTATAAAAACAGGCAATTTTGTAAAAATTCAGTGTTTTGCAAACATCATAATTATGCCAATAATGCGTTAATTTCAATTCGGAAAGCTGTTCTGTGCTAGCCTTTATAGCGCTAACAAATCTGCATACTGCGTTTGTTGATGCTGTTAAGAGCTTCGGACTGAAATTATAATAACCAGAAAAAAGGTATAAAAACAGGCAATTTTTGTAAAAATTCAGTATTTTGCAAACATCATAACTAAGCCAATAATGCGTTAATTTCAATTCGGAAAGCTGTTCTGTGCTAATTTTTATAGCGCCAACAAATCTGCATACTGCGTTTTGAAATTTAGAAAATTCAATTTTGGTCGAATTTAGCAAATTTTAATGATGTAACCCCTTATGTTTTCTTCAAATTTCGGAAAAAAAATGCAAACATTTATTTTGCCACTAGACATGGCTAGATCGATTCAGCTGTTCATTCTGAACAATAATATATATGATTTATAGGGTCGGAAATGATTCCTTCATTGTGTTTTAAGCTTCTGATTAATACTAAGACAGCAAAAAGGTATAAAAATTAACGCATTATTGGCTTAGTTATGATGTTTGCAAAACACTGAATTTTTACAAAAATTGCCTGTTTTATACCTTTTTTCTGGTTATAATAATTTCAGTCCGATGCTCTTAACAGCATCAACAAACGCAGTATGCAGATTTGTTAGCGCTATCGAAGCTAACACAGAACAGCTTTCCGATTTAAAATTAATGCATTTCTGGCTTAATTATAATGTTTAAAAACGTTGATTATTCAAAAAAAAATATCGTGTTTTTATACCTTTTTGCGGGGTATTAGTATTATTCAGAAGCTTAAAACACAATGAAGGAATCATTTCCGACCCTATAAATCATATATATTCTAGATCAGAGTGAACAGCGGAATCGATCTCGCCAGGTCTAGTGGAAAAATACATTTTTGCAAAATTTCAAAAATAGATAAGGGGTTACATCTTAAAAATTGCAAATTTTAATTTTGAATTAAAAATGCTAATATTATATTATATTTATTTTTATTTTTAAAACATCGAAAGGATCGATGTTTGTACAAAATTGAACCTAGTTTACGTGTAGTTTCAGTTCAACAGCCTTTTGGGGTTGCCAGTTACACTTCGAACGTCTCCCTCTTAAAATTTAATATAGCATTAAATATTAAACAATTCGATAATCTGTTTGAATATAAGGACACAAATCATGCCAAACACCAAGGAAATGGGGACGGATGCCAATCTGGAGGAGAAAACCGCAAGGCTAAACAGCCGCGATAGTGCCGTGTAAGTTATGGGTCCGTCTTTTTGTTTTGTTAAAACCTGGTTGCTGGAATCCTGAAACAGACTGAAGGACCTCATGAAGAAACGCCTTACGGAATGCGGATGGCGAAAGGATATTGAGCAAATGATCCGTCAGACTATTCAGGAGCACGGTGTGGGCAATTTAACACGCGCCCAACTCGCTGAGAAAATTGTTCCCCAAGTAGGTAAGACCACTGCTTTGTTGCCCTGCTTACCCACATATTGGCCATTATGATAGGCACGCGCCTTGGTTCCCGACGTGATCTGCAAGGAAATGCTGATACGTGTGCATCACGCCTTAGGATCGTCGCAGCCAGTGGAGAGGAAAGGAATGGGCAATCGAGACTGTCAAGATTAAATTCTAGCACATGAGTGTCTGTTGATTTATTTATGTCTTCATTAATTAAGTAGATATTTACAGTCTTATGCTAGTTACTAATTGCGTCATATTGGTAATACAAAATATGCATGTAATAATAATAAACAACCTATGTTGCTATGTTCATGTTTGGCTAAACAAAATTTGTGGGGAAACTAGGAACGCGGGTTGGGCTCGGGGGCTCTCTGGTTACTATTTGTTTATGTTTAATTATGCTACAAATAATATAATAAGGCTAACTGTATTAATTCGTTAATCTTGCGTTACGTTTACTTATTCAAAAGCGAATCAATTGAAAAGTCTTTGAATTTGGCATTGCTATCATCGTTGAGCAGGTGCAGTTGCTCCGGCTGCTCCAGCTCCGGCTCCGGCTGTGATGTTGCCGCTGGTGTTGTTGGCAGCATTTTCATGAGTTTGTTTCGTGGCTTGCGCAAAAACTTTGTGTTTATTTGAAACTTTGTGGTGGGTGGCTTATGCCCTGAACTTGGCTGGGACTGGATCTGAAACAAGGCTGTAGTTGAGTCTGATGCTCCTGTTATGTCTACTATTGCCGACTGTGATGTTTGGACCGTTGGGGCAACTGCTTCCGCTGTTGCTATTGTTGGGACCGTATTGATTGTGTTGCGATAATTCTGTCGCCATGCACGCAACTCTCCTTTTCCCAAGGCTTTCGGTGCTGTAGCGTGAGTGGCTGCTACTGCTGGGGCTAGAACGTTGGTCTTAGCATAGGCATTGGGCCCAAAGCACTTGAGAAAGTTCTGCACATGCAACAGACTTTCATTCTCGTTGGTGGGTTTAGACCTTCTTTGTTGCCTGTCCTCGTTTTCATCCTCCGCCTCGTAATCCACCGACGATTGCTGCTGCTGTGAGGAGGATGAGACGGTGGACGATGAGCTACTGCTATTGCTGCTGTGCTGTGAATAATGGAAATTTAATTAGACTAATTCTTTGAACGGATTAGAACCATAAACTTACATCGTCGTCATTTTTGTCTAGCAGCTGCTGGTGAAGGCTTGGTTCTGCTGCCATCTTTAGCTCACCTTCGGTGCGTTTACTATTGTTGTTTTCGTTGTGGTTAGAGCCTCCCCGTTTGGCAAGGGATTTTGGCTGTTGCTGCGGCTTCTGGCTCACTGGCTTACGGTACGACTTTCAGCTGGTTTTGGCTTGGAGGTTATCGTCGCGCCTTAGCTGGGACTGGAATTAAAAAGAAAATTTTAAGGACTTAGTAGGGTCTTCGTGAGGAAAGATTCTTAGTCAACATGGCTTATAGGATAACATAATATAGCTTCTGGAATTATTCTCTCTCTCATAATAAAAAAAAACAAACAATTTCCACCTGAAATGGGATATTTACAATGAAAGAAGATGGGCGCAAAGCGTATGACTTGGAATTCGTTGTGTGTTGCGTGTGTTTATTTTTTTGTGAATTTCTTGTAAGGTCGCAGGATTGCCTGATTGAACGTTTGATTGATTGAATGAGTAAGAAGTGAGTGCATAGATGATGAGACATGATGCATGACGCAAATCAAAAGGTGAATAAATGCACACAGAACAGGCATTATGGCGATTATTATGAACGTCTCCATCGTCCGTGTCTGGGGACAGGTACATGCTCCCAACAATCACAAAATTCACACACACACACTGAGGAACACGCTCTTGCACACGCACTCACAACTACCTGGTGATGCGTGCTGTAGAGCGCCGCATGGTGCGCCGCATAGGAGGAAGAAGAGGTGCTACTTAAATCGTCAATGCCAACGCTGCCGCCACCCACTTGAATCTGAATGCTAGGATGTTGGTGTGGTGGGTGTGGATGTGGGTGGTGGTGCGTGCCCGTGCCCGTGCCCGATCCCGTGCCCGATCCCGCTGTTGTCGAAAAAGTAGTTGTGGTTGTCGCTGCAGCCACGGCAGTCCCTGCTGCTGACCCACCTCGTCCAATGCCTGCAACGGCAGCACCGCCTCCAGCGCCAGCTCCAAGGCTCATTCCCACGCCCAGCAAATGGGCGGCTGCCACAGCGGCGCTGGTGGCGTGATGCGATTGATGCAGGTGCTGCTGCTGTTGGACCTGCTGTGCGTGCTGCTGATGTTGCTGCTGCTGGGAAGGATGTGACGAATGCTGCGAGTGCTGCGAATGATGCTGGTGATGCAGGGCGTTGCTGTTGGCGTTGATGCTGCTGCCTCCGCTATTGCTGTTTGCAGAATTGTTGTACGCCGAAACGTGTCTATAAAGTAAAGGTTTTGCTAATTAGATATCATTTCAGATGATATATTTTGGAAATGTCACACATATGCACATTCCTTCTGCAAACACTTTTAAGGTGATCTTCCTTAAAATGGAAACACTCACCTCAATCCTAAGCTGGCTGCATTGGTCATTGTCATGCCGGCAATAGACATTGGTGTAGTTGAGGTTGTTGTTCCGCTGCTAGCATTGGAGGATGTGGCTGGATTGTTGCTGCTGCTGCTGCTGTTCACGCTGTTGCCGACGATGCTGTTGCTGCTGCCGCCACTGTTGTTGGTGTTGCTGCCGCTGTTGTTATTGTTGTTGTTGTTGTTGTTGCTATTACTGCTACTATTGGTGGCACTGTTCCCGCGATAGTCCAGCACACCGCTTGAACTAGCAGGCGCCACTGTGGGCCGGCTGCTGATCATGGTGGGAATGGTGGTGTTAATGGCCGTAGTGGCCAGGGAAACTGCCGCTGCGATCGTTGTGGCCGCATTGAGAGCGCTAAGGTTGCTGCCAAGACCGATGCTGTTGTTGTTCGTATTGCTGCTGGCGGTGTTGGAGGCTAGTGTGGAAATGATAAGAGTTGTACAAGTTGTTGTTGTTGTGGTTGTTGAATTCATTCTGGACATTGCTGCTTTATAAGCATATTTTTAGTTAGATTGTGAGTACGCCCAGTGGGTTGTTGTTCCATCGCCAGTAGAGTTGTGTGTGCATGTGTGTGTTGTTAGTGGTTATAAAGTGCGAGTGTTGTGGCGTGGAGTGTGTGTGCTCGAGTGTTGTGGTGTGCCTCTTTCCACGGCATGCAACAGACAGCAACACAACGCAATAAACTTAAGAAACCTTAGGATAATCTTCGAACCCAAGTGAGAATTAATCGAAACTTAGGAAAAGAAATTTAGAATGTTTTGTTATATTAAAACCTTTTATTCATTTCTCAAATAAATAAAATCGGAAAAAGCCTTAGCCTTAGCATATTGCGACAAAATAACTTAACTAAATATAAACTTGGCCAATAAAATCATTATAATTTGTTACATAATATAAGTAAGTATAATTAAGTTGTGTATAGTTCGCCGTTAATACAAGAGTGTAGAACTAACTTAAAAGTGTGGGCTGGGTTCGTCAATAATGACACAGAAGAAAGTATGCCGTAGCGTGAAAAAGGTTTGTCTATAAATGCAATAATTGTATCGCCCATCAGACAGTCACTTCTTTGCAAATATTATGTACATGTTTACTTATATACAAGGACCGTATTTTAAGCAGTTTTGGGGACAACTTAACCTAAGCCACTTATGACTAAGACTGAAGAGGATTGCGGATGGAGGCAACAATTCCAATCGTAAATAATATGTACAAGGAATACCAAACATTAAAAAGAAAATGAAAAATATAACGTATCAAATGCAAATTTGGTCTGTGATCAAGTGGCAGTGTGTGAGAGTGGCATGTGTGGTGAGTCCTCGCCTCCGGTTGCCAAAAAGAGCTGGCCGACACCAAGAACAATAGAGAATTCCGCCTCATCTCTACTTACCGTGCGCCTCGGCCTTGGCATTGCTGCTGCCGCCGATCGTACTCAATGGGATCTGGAGGCGGGCATTCACGGCCAGAAGGTGATCGCGGCGTGCTATAAGACTGGTCACATGCTCCTCCAGCCGCAGATTCTCGCTCTGCAGCTGGTGCAGGCAATTCAACAGCGAGGCAACTGTAGATAAAAAGTTTTAACGTTAATCCCTGTGGACACATACCTCTGCTCCCGAAATACGACTCATACTCACTGTCAAAGTGCTGCGCCTGCTCCATGAGAAACTGCGAGCCCTGCTCCCACTGGCGCTCCAGCAATTGCTCCAGACTCTGTGGTATGGGCATGTTGCCATTGATCCCGCCACCGCTGAACATTGACTGAAGGGGATTCGGTGCTGGCGTTGTTGCAGCATTACTGGAAGCGGCATTGCGCTGGAAGTAGAACAACATCAAAGTTATTTACAAAACTAGAAGGTATTAGAAGAGATCACTCTTACCTGCTTGCCAGGAAATGGCACCCCAGTGTACTGTGAGTTCATGGAGTCGGGCGTGTAGATCGAGTGATCCTGAACCTCCATGTGCAGCTGCTCGGACAGCTTCTGGGCCACACTGCTATTGGGATTCAGCTGGTTGCCCAACATATGGGCGGCCGTGTGCGTGATGATAGAACTGCCTGGCGTACTACCAGCAGATGTGGCTACGGGTGTGGCCGGCGGCGTGGGTGTGCTGCTGCTGGTTGGATTGCTTGAGCCACTGGCTGCCGCACCATTCTGCAGTATGCGCACATCCTTGAGATCCTGTTGAACACTGCTGTTTGCAGCATTAGCTGCTGCTGTTGCTGCTGCTGCTGCTGCCGCCGCTGCAGCTGCCGCTGCTGCTATCGTAGAGTCCTTTGCCTTACGTCCACGTTTCCGCACATTTCCCGGCTGGACAGTTGCTGCCGCCGATGCCGAGGTAGGAGCCGCTGCAGTCAGGGAACTAACCGCAGCCGTTGCCGTGTGCATGACGGATCCAGTCTCCGAGCCGGGTGAGCTGGGCGGTGAATCCTTAATGGCACTCACTGGCAGCATGGGCACATCCAACTGGACTTGACTCTCGTACGTGAATTTCAAACCGCCGCCGCCGCCGGCCATCGAACTGAGGGGCAGCTGGTTGTTGCTCAGCGAAACCAAGGCAGCTGTTGTCGCCGGCACTGCGGATGATGAGGAGCTCGTTTGGCTGAGATCGGGCGTTCTGTTGGTTGGTTTCGTCGCAGAAGGAGTAGGAGTGGTATTCGAATTAGTGAATTGCAAAATCTCAAGATCTTCGTGCTGTTGACTCTGTGCTGAAGACGCTGGCTGCTGCTGCGAGGGTTTAAAGCTAGTTGTGAAGCTAAGAGGAGCAGTAGGGGCTTGACTGAGATTAGGGGGTGGGGAGTTGGCTCTAGCGGGGGTGGCATACTGCTGCTGCTGCTGCTGCTGTTGCTGTTGCTGTTGCTGCTGCTGCTGCTGCTGATACATCTGCGTCTGCTGAGCACGCAACATTTTCTTGTTCAGGGGCTTGTTGGCCGAGCTGCCATTGGCAATGCTGTTGCCTCGATAGTTGCCTGAAGCTGTCATGTTCACCGGCGAGTCTGCAAGATTCACCACATTGGCCACGCCACTGGAACCGCCACCGCTCGAAGAGGAGGTGGGAGATGTGGACGAACAGGACGACGAGGTCTGCTCGCCATTATGATTCGTATTGTTGTTGCCGTTATTGTTTCGAGTATTGCGACTTGTTGCCGTTGCCGGTGGGGAATCAATCGATGACGAGGACAGAGATTGCAGCATTACGACGGGCGAGAACACCACTGGAGGTGCCACAATCCCAGTCGCAGGCGGTGGCGGTGTGGGCACCGCAGTGGCACTGTGGTGGGGCGAGCTGTGTCGACCCTGCTTCTCGGCAGTGGCCGTTGTTGTTACTGCTGCCGGCGATGCAGTTGCAGCTGCATCGCCCTTGCTGACGGCAGCTCCGCGTTTCTTGCCTGACCTCGAGGTGGTTTTGCTATTCGCGGATGTGGCCGAGGCACTGGCACTCGAGAGCGAGGATGAGGATGTGGAAGTGGTAGTGGAGGTGGAGGACGAGGGAGAGGGAGAGGCGGCAGTGGAGGAGGCGTGATGGTGTTGATGATGGTGGGCATGGTGGTGACTACTGCCACTCTCGCCAGAGCGCGATCTAAGTACGTGTGGTGATTGGGCGTGTGTGTGGACAGTGAGCATATATAGTGTGGTGTGGTGGGAAGACATTAAGCAAATTGGGAGAGATAAAGAGAAGAGTGTTTGTTTTTATAGATCGCTCAATTTGATTTGTTTATTATTGTCAACTTGGCTTGGACATAAAAAAAGGATAAAGGATGTAATGAAATTATAGAAAATGGAGGTGTAATTTTAAAAATATTGCAATCTGGCGACCGTGAAGAGTCAATAATAATATCTTGCTGGAATAAAATAATATTCCCAATGTCCTTACACAGAAACCGAATCTAACAACAAAGGGTACAACTAAAGCATATAATTTGATGGAAAAAAATAGGGTTTTTGAATAATAAAACTACACACACACAGCAACAAAACAACAGCAACACACTTTAAACAAAAGGCCATAAATATATAAATAAAAGCAGGAGCAAGGCACAGCCGTCAAACAAAAGTATATGAAGTTATCCACAGAACACATACCTGCTCCGACGTGCTGGAGGCGCCTCCTGTTCCTGTAGCTGCTGCACCCGCGTCGTCTGCTTCTCATAGCTGATCTTCAGGTAACCGCTCTCCGTGGTGGTGGCAGTGAGATTACCCCCGGCGGAGATTGCAGTACCACTGGCAGAGATGATGCTGCCACCGCTATTGCCACTGACTAGGTTGCCGCCCAACGCCGGTGAAGATTTGCCGCTTTGGTGCTGGATGACCGACGAAGAGCCACTGTTCGCACCACCTCCTCCAAATCCTGCGGCTCCTGTTCCACCACCTCCCATCGCTGTGAGGCTACCCTGTTGCTGCTGCTGCTGCTGCTGGGATGGTGCCCCATTGCCCCGCGATGCTGCCACATGGGATTCTGAGAACGGAGAACATGTATAGAATTATAAAGAGTTCTCTCCGGAACTTTTCCTAAAAACTTACCGCTGCTGGGATTACTGCTACTGCTGCTGCTACTGGTGGGCAGATTGATTCCAGGTACATTGGCCGTGGACAGCGGCACTGAGACATACAGACTGGGTGCATTGCCGCTGCTCCCGCTCGATGCCTGCTGGCTGTTGCCGCTATCCTTGTTGTTGCTACTATTGTGCTTGTTGCTGCCACCGCCAACTCCTCCACTTGCAGTGCCACTCGACTTGCTCGTCTCTGTCTTTGAATAGCTGCCGGTGCCGACAGCGGGGGCTGCTCCTCCACCGCCAGCTGCCATTCCGCCGGAGCTGCTTCCGGTGCCCGCGGGAGCTGCAGCATTGCTGCTGCCGCCTGAGGTAGTGCTGCCTGACACTGGAGAGGCCGTGGCTGCGGTTGCCGCCGTTGCACTCGCTGTCACCGCAATGGACGCACTTGTTGAGCTGGCCAGCGGTGCATTTACCTCTGCGGTGGCGGATGTTTGGTGGGTCGGCGGGCTGAGCTCTGTACGTTGCTGCGGGCGAAAGGAACAGAGAAGGAAGTGGTAAATTAGTATGTGATTCACACAAGTTACTATACTAACACTAGCTGATAAAACCTCAAATACTTCGGAGTGATAAGCACTGTAAAGCCAGCAATTATCATCAAGTGGCTGGCTCAAGTTTATATTACGAATGATGCAATCAAAGGGGAGAAGAGTATTAGATTAAAAGTCTTGTAAGCACCCCTACTGAATGTATGTTTTTGGATACGCATGGGAAATATTGTATACGCCCTTTTAAAACCTTTTTAACCCTTTTAAATTAATATTGATTTATAGCTTATAGATTTATACTTTCTTTGACAACATAACTCTCACTAAAAAAGGAAATTAAAAATTGAATGTAAACAAGAATGGATATCTATGGATATATTTTCTGTTCTGTGTTAGTTTTAATAGCGCTAACAAATCTGCATACTGCGATTGTGGATGCTGTTAAGAGACTAAAATTATAATAACCTGCAAAAAGGTATAAAAACAGGCAATCAGTGTTTTTCAAACATCATAGTTAAAATTTTGGAAAAAATTTTGAAATATTTACAGCGACTCGTACTTCCTGTCAAGTTTCTTAATATAAATTTTGTTAGATTTATATAGTATGTCTAGGGATTTTAAAATTATTATTTGTAAATTATAATTACTATCTTTATGTGGCCACCTTTAAAGTCATTTTATATTCATTTTTGTAAACTTATCCTTGCTTGAGGAATTTTAATCAATAAATGAATATAATTATCATAAATTATTTTCATATCAATAACTTCCATAGGAAATATAATTAATTTTAATGTCAGTTAATTGACAATCAATCAAAGTACGGTCTGTGTTTTATGTTTCAGCAGTACATTTGGATTTAAACGACATCAAACAAATCATCAAAATTTTCTTGAATAAAAAGCTAAAGTTTAAAATCGGTTAAAAAAAAACTTTAATGACGGACATGGTTTATCTAAAAACAGCTGTGCATCCGCTGCATAGTTGAGAAGATCTTCAATCCAAGTTTAATGTATTTATTTAAAATATAATTACAAGTAAAGAATATACTCTTTTGTGGGTCTAAAATGAATCGCATAGTGTTGTGCTTGCTTCTCTTCTGATTTGCTTTTTAGCTTTGCGGTCATTAGCAACATCCGGTTGGATGGTGAGACATGTAAACACATGTTTACAACGCCATCAAAAGGCAAAAGAATAATAAACACAAAAAAAAAAAAGACAAACCAACGGATAACAGTGGCACTAACATACTGTTAAATCACAGTGAACCACTTTTCCCTGTTGTTGGTGGTGGTTGGAAGAAGTTATGAGAGAGAGTGTGACGGAGAGAGGATCTCTGCTGCATGTGTTCCATTTAGATAAAATATGTATAAAAAAAAGGCTAAGCATTAATGCAACTCAAAAAGCTCTTATCGCTGATGTTGCTGCACAACACAACAACAAAAAATAAATAAAAACGAACGGAAAACGCACATGAGTCAGAGCTTAACAAGAATGCAGCTGCAACAAATGTTGCTGCAATGCTGGGCGAGTTTTTCACGTTGTTTTTTTTATTTTTTTGTAGTACTTTGTGGTTTTGTCTTGGCATATGTATGCTGCCATATGCAGCCTATAGATATACATATTTATAAACATACAAACTTAAATACACATACAAAATTGTGTGGGGCAACAAATGTTACATGCACCGAATGCACAAAAAAAAAACAATAAAGAGAGCAAGGCCCATAGATTGGGAGAGGAGCAGTACCACAACAACAACAAGAGCTCTGCTCTACTCAACCACCCGCTCTCTCACTCTCTCTGTATTGTTGCCTCTCTCTCTCTCTCTCTCTTTTCGTTTCCCCTTCCTCAAACCCAGAGTTTTTGTTGTTTAATTTCGGGGTTGGGGGTGCAACAAACCACACACACTCATACACATTGTAGTTCGGTCACGTAGACCGAAAACAGACAAAACGAAAAACCTATGAATGGCGTTGCCACCTAATATTGCTATTTTCCAATAGGAAATCCTCTTTTGTGGGGATTCCCGTAGCCTGTTGCTTCTTAACATTCGTAACATTTTCTAGAACCGGAAACGCCTCATAAGATTCCTACAAGTTTAATTGATTGCATACTTTTTGAATTTATAAGCTACATACATTGAAATACCGAATTTCATGGATACAAAGTTAGCAGATAATATTTAAGTACATGTATCTTACAAATACAAAGATACCAGATATTGTTTGAATACATCTTTTTTACAAGACAACATATTAAACCATTGTTTTGTTTATAAAAATTCGTATATATTAAATCTTTTCATGAACTCAAAGGAGTTGGTATTAAATAAAAAAAAGGAAGCAAGCTAACTTCCAGCTAAGAAAGTTCAACTAGAAATTTATCATAACTAGAGCAAAAAGTCATTAATTTCAATTCGGAAAGCATTTCTGTGCTAGTTTTTATTAGCTTATAAATTGTGCATACTAAATATTTAAATATGAAATTAAATTAAATTAACAAATTCTTTGAAACCCCAAAGTCAGAATTACATAAATTTATAGCATTTAATATGAGAACCCTAAAATGACTTTAACTCACAGTGTATCGTTTGGTTTTCGCGTATTTGGAAATTGGAGAATTGTTTAATCCCTTTTCATGGTCAAATCCTGTATGTTTTTTTTTTGGAAGCTACTTCTCCCGTGGGCTTCTAACCCTCTTTCTCTTATTCCATTTTTTCCGGCAGGCCAGCTGCCGAATTGTGATTATCCTGTTGCTGCATGTAATGGCCTGAAGCGTGAGCTGGAATCAGGATAGCAAATAAACCAACCCCTAAGCTAACTATATATATGTATTTCTTTCTTTTTTTTTGACAACTTGAGCGTGCTTTGCATTCGGGAATCGCTTCCGCGGCACATTTCAATTTTATTTCCATTGTGCGACAAATTGAATTCAATACAAGGAGAGCCAAGTCGAGACAGCCGGAAGTAAAATACCAACTATAAATATTATATTAGCGTGTCTGCTGCTATATACATACATACATCCATACATATATCTTTGTGCAAACTCCTACCCTTCGCGTGTGGCTTAATGGTCACACAGAAAGGGTTGTCCTTGTCCCCTTTGCGGAAAGACTTTGGCAAAAATAAAAATAAAATCATCCAAGCAAACAATAAGTTGTCGTCGCCAAATAAACGATTGAATTATTCAAATTGAATTGAACGTTATTTTTGTTGTTTGGCAAACAGGAGGAGAAAGGAAGTGTTGCTGGTAGAAAGCGAAATCAAAAGGAATGGAATTTCTCAGATTCCCTGAAATAAACAAAGCGTCTGAAGATATCCTTTATTGAATTAAGGCTTAGACCGTAGCAAATGGTGGGGAATGCCTGGCAAAGGGGCAACTACTTACAAATATCTACTTATCTAAGGGATAATTGAAGGATCAAAGAGAATAATGGATGGGATTTTGGCAAGTGTTTCTTGCTTGATTAGATAGAAGGTCCTGTTGTTAAGGAAATAATTCGATAACAATATAACGTTTAAATAGTATATAAATTGATTAGAGTTGGGGTGACAATACGAATGTCTAAAGTGGGATTACTTGACCAAATTTATAGTTATATGGAAAGATTTTATTTCTGTATCTTATATCTCATTTTTATACATAAATATGTAGAAATTTTAGACCTATTGTATTTAAAATATCAAGCCTCAAGTTCATATATGAGCATTTTAAGGACGTTTTGAGAGGGAAATTTCTTGAAAAACAAACTATTTCGAAATTATCTCTACAATCTTATTACAGAAACTAACCCATACCATATTTCTAGGCCCCACAATTGCCATTTTTAGTTAAGGATTTACATATGATTATAATTCCTATTTAATCCGACATTTGGAGGGAAAACGATAGAATACAATGAATGCCAATTAAAATAACAATTAGAGCAAGAATTGCGAACGAGCAAGCAAAATTAAGTAGGTATAAGGTAAGACGAGAGCAGAGAAGGAGGAAAAGGTGAATAAACACACGGATCCCAAGACAGGACAACGCAGCTCAGGCTGGGCTGGCTTACCTGGGAACTCAGCCAGCAGCTGTAACAAGATCGAATCGAGGATCAATCAGCAGCCAGGAAGCAACAGCCCAGCACAAGTACAAAAAAGTAAGGGTAGCTCTGAGGAAGGAGCTAAGAAAGGGAGCAAAGGAAGATGTGCTGCGCCTGGCAGCTGTCGTAAACTAGAAGCAAATGTGCACAAAGCGGCGACCTGGTCCCGGTGCAGGACACAATGCGATATCCCAAGGATATGCCCAGGCAACCGGCGAAACCGGCCTGCCTTTGGGATGTGTTGTTGTGTTCCTTTTTTTGCCGTCTCTCGCAGGCTCTGTGAAAATAAAAGAGGAAAAGGATAAGGCGAACAGCTGTCTGCCAGGAATCCCCTCCACTGGCTGATCACGTAGTCCACGAACGGAGCGGGAGTAAGGACCGCCCTTAATGGCACTTACACTAATCAATAATCGAGTACCATGTGTCACAACTCTGATATATGCGTTTTAAGCCAATTGGAGTGGAAGGAAGGAAGAAGTATAGATGCGGGACAGGGGCGGGGCCTGGCATAATTGAAGGTGTCTTCACCTCCCCTTCGGCAATTCTTTTGTTTTATTTTCCAGCCAGCAGCATTCATGGCAGGTGGCTCGCTCTCACCGCGCTGCAGGTGCATATGTTGCACGTTGTGCGTTGCACTCTGTAACACGCCGTAATGCGGTTAAATTATTGATGGAGTGTCAGGACAAGGATATGGGGGTTGCATTCGAAATAAAGGACCCATTAACGAAAGTATTGACGAGGGATGAAACTGTAGGGAATTTATATAAGATACTAAGGGCCAATTCAATATTTACTTCACATTATAAAAAACAATGGAGCCATCAATCAGATAAGACAAGTAAAACCCGTAGAGAATGGATTAGTTTCTTAATCAATCTTTCTAAGACAA